TATTATTATGTTCATTAACCAACCACCGCTCACTCATTTTGGGGTTGAGGGTCTTCAATATTGATTGATGAGCGAGATATGTAAGGAAGAATTTCATCTGTGTTGTTTAGAATATACAAGTGTGTCTCGAGTCGACTCACTAGCATTTTTTTATTGTATTTTGACCCCACGAGTGCCCTTACCATTTATTCTATGATCATGTCGTTGAGTAGGTACACCCACTTGCTAGGGCCTTTCCTAAATATTCAGAACAAAATTCTATAGCTTCTTCACGCAATATACCTTTCAACAATAGAAGCTTGAGTCTATATGGATTCGTTGTATACCCTTTAAAGATCTTCATACATCGCTCAATTGGGTACATCCACCTCAAATAAATCGGACCACACAGTCTTATCTCTCTTACAAGATGAACTATTAAGTGCACCATAATGTCAAAAAATGATGGAGGAAAATACATCTCCAACTGACATAATATAACCACGACTTCATTTTCCAAGCTGCTCCAATGATTTTTCATCAACTACTTTGGCACATATAGCATTGAAGAAGAAACAAAGACGCATAATTGCATGTCGTAGATTCTTTGGCAATATGTCACGTATAGCTACGGGTAAGAGTTGTTGCATCAAAACGTGACAATCATGCGACTTTAACCCGACTAGCTTCAGATCTTTCATGGACACAAGACTCTTAATATTTGAAGAGTATCCTTGTGGCACTTTAATACTTGTGAAGACACTCGACATAAACTAGTCTTCTCCTTCTTTGACAATGTGTGACAAGCTGGTGGTAAATATGTTCTCTTGCCTTCAGGTCTTGGATGTAATTCTGGACGTATTCCCAATTCACATAGATCTTGACGAGCTTTGACTCCATCCTTTGTTTTTCCTTTAATGTTCAATAGTGTGCCAATGAGACTATCAAATACGTTCTTCTCCACATGCATAAAATCAATGCAATGTCTCACATCTAGATGACTCCAATATGGAAGGTTAAAGAAAATTGATCTATTTTTCCACAACCTTTTATCAGACGACTGTTTTTTAGTCTTTCCAAAGACAACATTAATGTTTCTAACCCGTTCATAAACTTGTTCACCGAGTTAAAGGTTGTTTGGCAATTTTATCTTCCTGCTGACCATTAAAAGCTTTCTTCAATCTTCGATATGGGTGGTTATGTCGAAGAAATTTTCTGTGCCTATTATACACAGTCTTTTTTCCATGCTTCAATTGTAGAAAACTTGTATCTTCCTCACAAATAGGACAAGCATGATGACCCTTGACACTATACCCACTCAAGTTTCCATATGCTGGGAAGTCATTGATAGTACAAAATAACATTGCATGTAACTTGAAGCTCTGCTGTTGATATGCATCAAACACATCCACTCCTTCCTCCCACAATAGCCTTAAGTCATCTATTAACGGACTTAGATAAACATTTATGTTATTACCCGGCTGTCTTGGACCTGCAATCATGATGGATAACATCACGTACTTGCGCTTGAAAATCAACCATTGTGGAAGGTTGTAAATCACTAAAAGAAGCTGGCCATGAGTCGTGATTACTTGGTTAAGTTACCAAAAGGATTCATGCCGTCTGTGGCTAGTCCAAGTCTAACATTTCTTGCATCACTGCCAAAACTTGGAAATAGGCGAGTCAATTTTCTTTCATTGTGGAGAATCGACTGGATGACGAAGCAATCCATCACGTTTTTGTGCAGTTGAATGCCATATCATATTCTTGGCATCTTCTCCATTGGCAAACAATCGCTTCAATCTTGGAATAATTGGAAGATACCATATAACTTTTGCAGGAGGTCTCTTTCTATCAATACATTCGCTATTATCATCCTTGTCTTTCAATTTGTAACGCGATACACCACATCTTGGACACTCATGTAGGCTTTCAAACTCTTTTCTCGTATAATACACAATCATTAGGGCAAGCATGTATCTTTTTATACTGTAAACCCATTGGACAAAGTATTTTTTTGGCTTCATACATACGATCAAGCAAGGTGTTATCGCTTGGGAGCATATCTTTCAAAACTTCTAGTAACTCAGTGAAACTTTTATCACTCCAACCAAATTTGGCCTTCAAATTGACCAATCTCAATACAGCTGACAATCGCGTGAATGTTGTACATCCGAGCATACGGAGGTATCTCCGAATCTATCTTCAATTTATCATAGACGACGGACATGTGCTTGCGAGAAAATTCTCTTGACCTACATCACGAATCATGTCTTCTATTCGATCTTCCATTGTCATATCCTCCTCTTCCTCAGCTTGTGTTACTATTGGTGTATCAATCACTTCACCATGCCATGTCCATAGGATATAATTCTTCATTATCCCATCACATAAAAGATGTTCCCGTATTGTCTCTAGTGTGTGTACTCTCCCATTAACGCAGTTAACGCATGGACAATACAATTTTCCATTAACCTTGGTGCCATTGTGTTCGGCAAATCGCAAAAATTCTTCAACTCCATTCTCATACTCTTGTGAAATACGACTTGCATTTACCCAACTTCGATCCATTTTGGAATTGGAGTCTACAAATGAGAAACCCATAAAACGATTAATACTAATAATCGTTATCTCTAATGAAATCTATACCAAAGTAGATTAATTTGTAACGAAATTTCAACAGAATTTCGTCTATTTTTTGGTCGAAACCAAATTTGTATAAATTGAAATTATAGAGTTTTCATTGTTACTACCATCACTTATATAACTACATTGTTATATGTAGTTTTCGAAATTCACACTTCATGATTAATTTCTAACAAAAATCCGACGAGTTTCCTTTGTTTTTTGGCAACAATTTTAAATGACACAGTGAAACCTGACAATAAAAAGCCCCACGGGCATATTCAAGCAGTTCAAGTATAATTGTACACATCATCAATACATTGAAAAAAACTATAATATGACTAAGAATTGAATCAACGAGTTAACGGCAAATGACTAACAATCTCTACCTATGAAATGTAGTAAGTAAAATTGTATGACTTTGCCCAACAAATATAAGTGCAACAACATCGTACCTGTGGTTTAAGGCAGCGATGAAGGTTCGCACCACGGAGAAACGAGCAGCTACTGCCGGGGTGGAGGTGGAGGATGCAATGCGGCGTTAGGGTCGAGGCCGTGGTGAGCGGACAATGCAATGTGGGTGGAGGCTGCGGTGGGGGTGGAGGGTGGAGGGTGGGCGACTAGCGTCGCGGTGGGGTGGAAGCTGCAGTGGGGTGGAGGTGCTTGCGGCGGGGGTGTCACGCGGTGCGCGGTGGCGGCGTGAGGGAGGGCGTCCGGAGAGTCCAAATGACGGTGGTAGGTGGTGGCCGCGATGCTGGAGAGTAAGGGGAGTGGGCGCGATGCTGGAGAGTAAGGGGAGATACAAAAATGGTAGCCTATTCAAATGGGAAAACGGGGTTTCGACGTCGATTATACCCACACCCGACGTTGAAACTCGATTTATCTCCAGTCATATGTTTTAATCGATTGAAACGAGATTTAATCGATTAAAATAGTTCTGATCGGTCATAACTGGATTCTGATCGATCATCCTGACCCTTTAAGAGATTTTAATCGATTGAAACGTGTTTTTAATCGATTGAAAAAATTCTGATCGCTCATAATTAAAATCTGATCGATCACATTTGATTCTGATCGGTCATATTTGTATTCTGATCGGTCATAATGAGTTCATAAGGGTTTTCAACGTCGGGTGAGGGCATAACCGACGTCGAAAGCCTACTTTCCACGTCGTGCATGCTAAAACGACGTAGAATGTGTCAAAATTCGACTTTCGACGTCGGTTGTTGACCAACCGACGTTGAAAGCATGTTCAACGTCGGCTAAGATGTAACCGACGTTAAACAGTGACGTTGAAAGTATATTTTCTAGTAGTGCAAACATTAATTTGTTCTTAAGTCCAAACATTAATTTAGTATGGTTATTGAACTTAAAACTCATGTTGGAAAAATGTACATTTATATTGGTAACAGAATTATCATATATTAAATACAACAAAATTTAATATTTTCAATGTTTTATATTTTTTACAATAATGTCCAAAATTCATTTCATGCTTCCTATTCAACTATTATTATTATTATTATTATTATTATAATTAAAATCAACCACTGATAATCATCTTTAACTAGATAAATATTATTAAACTTTTGAATATCATACTTAAGTAAAGTCTACATAGACATTTTTATTTGTAATATCAAAATTATAAATATAAATGTAATTAACATTTTCACCAGGAGACCTTGAACTTGACCTGTTACAATTATTTTTTATTAAAATATCAAATAGCACAATGAAATCATTAATAAAAAACATTTTTCTTTCATTAAATTTATAACAAAAACATATGCAAGGATCTTAATTTAAAAATCATACAACACAACAAGTAAGAGACACAATCGTGATTATAATCTCACAAATTGATATAATAATTATTATTTTGTATATTCAAATATTCTATCAAATGTTTAGTCTATTTTTTAGATAATTATTCTAAAAAATGTACAACTATATATCTGAGTTTTCTGTCTAGTTTGCATCCATGTGCTTTCATTATGGTGTCATTGTAAAGAGAGAAGTTTTAGGTAGAGAATAAAGAGTAGCATACATGTCCACTTGCTGTTTCTGACAGTTGGCAGGTCCATAAATTTTAAAGATTCAATGAACCATCACTCAAAGACATGCTACGCCCATTGTTGTTGCAGCTGAGTGTGATAATAAATTACTGGAATATGAATCACAAGAAACATAAAAAGGGTAAAGCAGCACTGTTCAAATTGAAGCCAAAAACTCAAGTGACGGAACTTCTGAAAGATGACGAAATCACAGTAGTCGTATAATAAAAAATTAAGAAACTAAGGTGTAATGTCCTTCAGAACACTCCAAATTCTGTCCACCATTGCTTACATTGCGCCTCAAAAACATTGAAACCATCTATAGCAACGTATTCTGTTTTAGGCATAGCAATATACGATTAAAAAATCATATGCACCTCTCATTTTCCCAGTTGAACAGTTAACACTAATGTTGTTCAACAACCACAGGTAGAAAATGAGCAGCCATTTTTTCCGTTCCTTCATCCTCTTCAATCTCTTAAGCTCCGCCCTGATCTCTTCTGCTCCATCGAGCTTTAGACCAAGTTCCAAACCAGAAGTCAACCTTTCCATAGCGTAGATATCATTTGCCTCTTTGTATGGACCTGAAAGAATCTCACACGCTTCGCATATGCGTTAAAAGTTCTCCGTAACAATATCCTTCATCTGATAGAACAAAGAATAATGAGTGAAGAAATTGCAAACCAAAAGGAATTAACAGGGGAACGGGGAGGAGCTGTACTTATCATGGCAAGGCATTACTAATCATTTGTTTACTTAACACCATACTCTTTCTTCGTCGAGATTATATATGATATTTGAGATCTTATTAAATCCACAACTCAGATTCAACACTTAAATTCCAAACTTACGCAGTACTCTCATAACTATAATACATATAATTTTCGCGATTATTCCCTTAAACTTTAAAATAATACAAAACCACGCAATAGAAAGAATAACTTACAATTTGGGTAAAATTTCTTCTTATTATCACATCAATTTTGTGCTATCATTTTTAATATAAAATTTACAAAAATATAAATATATTAAAATATTTTTAAAAAAATTCAAAGCTTAATCTTTTATTTATGGAGTTTTTTAAGTAAATATTTTTATATATGCAGATACATTCAGCAATAAAAATAATATTAAAAATGTTGATTTGCAAATATAATTATAATTATTAAGTTCTCTTCTTAAAAGTTTATAGTTATTAAAAAAAATAAGAAATTATTAAAAATTTGAAAATTGATTAAAATTATAATTTTTTTCTACTCTTTCTTAAAACTATTATCTAATTAAAATTTAAAATTTTAATTAAAAATTAAAAATCAAATAAAATATAATTTATTATATTTAAATATTATATATAAATGAATTATAAACTAATAATAGACCTGATTATATTTTTTTTATACAATTATATTTTATTTACAATATATTTATGTTTTTTGAAAATATAATAAAACTTAAAAATATAATTTGTAATTATATGATTGTATAATTATTATTAATATAAGAAAACTAAAACTATAATAAAAATAATTATTAAAAATATATTTTTATTTAAATTTTTATATTTTAGATTTTAAGAATTTTTTGTGGAAAAATATTTTATATTTTTTTTAAATTATTTAACACACGTTAACCTTATTTTAATGATAATATGAATCTTATTTTCCGAACTTTAAAAATATTCAACTAATTAACTAATAACACGCTTCCCAATTTTTTAAAATTATTTTTAAAGAGATAAATGTTTAATTAAAAAGCGTAAAATATCTCTATTAATTCTAAAATTTCATATAGTGTCATTAACGACAACGTATTTACGTAACACTTCAAACATCATTAAACTAGTTTAAATTTATATAAAATATATTTAAATTTTTTCAGGATATTGTATTTTCTTTTTACATTGATCGAAAATTTTGAATATAAATTCATAATTTTTCATCAAAGACACAAACAACATTAACTTATTATAATATAAATTAAATTTAGAGAAAATTAATAGATTTTTCTATACTTAAATTGATAATAAATAAGAAATCAAAATCAAAATCTCATTGAGTAATGAAATAAACATCAATTTTTTTTATAGGTTGTATTAAAGTATAATAATCAAATAATCATGAGATATTTTATTCTATTTTATTAAATACATGACTACTATTTCCGATAATATTGAATATTTTGATCGAGTATTATTACGTGAGAAACATAAAATCAAATGTTTATCCCTATTTTATTAAGACATGATCTTATATGTTTTGGATATCTAATATCTATTTAATATTTCGGTAGTTATCTTAATTATTAGAACTAAATAACAAGTTAATTATTCTAACTATTAAGACCAAAGAAGAGAAGAGGGTCATGAAATTAAAAAAAAAAAATATATATATATATATATAATTATTATTAAATATAGTAATTTAAATATTTATAAATTTTATCATTATCTTTTATATTTTTATATTGATTTATTATTTATTAATAACATTTATTTTACCTAAAATAAATAAAGTAATAATAGGCCATTTCATTACTTCTATAAATAAATATGATTTTTTATACATATATATTTTATATTTAGGAAAAAAAATAGGAGCCGTCTACTTGGCACGATACAATATCAACAAAACGACAAAACTTTATCTCAAACTCGCCTACAGGAAAGTTCCAGGAAATTTCCAGTGGCCCCACTCCGACAAAAATACTCCTTCAGCTCACAAAACCTTTATTTATTTTTTCAAAATACATAATCCTTTGTAATCATAATATTTTAAAATTTTCAACTCACAAAATTATTTGATGTCAAGGTTTGCTTGTGAATTAAATATTAATTGTATAAGAAATAACATTATAATATTTTTCACAATGAATGTTTCTGGATAAATAAACTCTCGCGATAAAAATAACGATTTTATCGCATTGATATTTTCTTTAGACATTCTACTTGAACCTTGATATTGAATAACTTTCATATTATATGATGTGTTATTACATCATTTAGTAAATTTGATATCCATTATAATTTATATTGTTAAAATCATATATTAAATATATTTTTAAACTAGTAATGTTTTTTCTTTTTTATATATAAAACAATTATCGTATAATGATTTAAAACTAGACTCTAATCATCATTTATTTTATCTTATTAATTAATTTAAAAATTATTAATAGATAGCTTTTGAAATAATTGTTATAAAATTATACATCATATTTTATTATTGAATAATTTTTATGTTGGTAGTACATAACTTTTTCTTTAAAAAATTTAATATAAGTTTCATGAATTTTAATAATTTTGCACTTTTAAATTATTTTTACACGGAGAAAAAGCTACAAATCGTCTTGGACACGACTTTCAAAATATCATTGTTTTAAAATAATAACAAACACATATAATTGTAACTAAACCTTTTATATACACACCCAAAACTTCGAACAGTATATGTTCCCCCACCCAAAAGCATAAATGCATTCGGCTTACGTATACCCATCGAATGGGACATTGAAAAACTCTATCTTTGAGCCTTTTTCCCAAATCGCACGGTGAATGAAGCTCAGCCCGGAGAATCGAAAACCAAAAAACTCACCAAATGGGCATGAAATTCTCTGCATCTTCTTGAAACTGTCTTCATTGGTTTGAAGCTGCGGAGGGGTACAAAAATGGGGTTGCACATGGTGGCTGTGGCCAAGTTTCACTTCATAGTTTCCAGACACAGCATAAGCCCAGTGGTGGCTTGGACCGTTTGTCCTCTAGCGCTCAAACTCTTCATGGGCCTTGGGGTGCTCCGAGACGAAGCTGTTTATTCAACCAGGTTGTTCTTCTTCAGATTGGCTCAGATTCTGTTCAACAGGGAAATACCATTTGCTCATGGCACAAGGTTGGGCCGAGCCTTCCGATTAGTATTCCAAACACTTCACAACAACAACAACGACAATTCTACGACAACACCGGAAGAACAACTCAACCAGGAAACCTTCAACACTCTCTTATCGCTCACACTGTAGTCGCTTTTTGCTTGTAATTGGATTAATAAATGTTATTTATGCGCAATAATCATTATGCAGAATTATGTGTGTGTTCTTTGATATATGATATGGTTTGGTTCTGTTCCTGTATCGGTAAAATTAATTCTGACATATTGTTCTTTGTTTTTTTTTGTTCTGGATCTTGGCTTACATTGATTGACACTGGTTGTTTATTTTGAGAATTTTTTTTTTGGACGTGTACTTGCAAGTATGATAAATTGTGGGATGAAGTGGCAATCTTATAATTTAAAATAAAAGAGATAAAAGTGTTTTCATAAAAAAAGGAAAATGGTTGTTTTATAACTGGGTTTTGTTGTTTTGTTGTTGCTTTAGTTCATTTCAAACCCACTCCATCAGAACAACAAAGCTTAGAAAAGTTTTGACTCCATCTCTTTTACTTTCATTTCAAAAGACTTTATGAACCATTTATTTGGTGCTAACCTTAGAATATCAAATTTAACTCATACTTCTCTGCAAAATAATGACATTCCATTGTTTCACAATCAGCAAATTGATAGTTCTTTCGCATCACAGCATTTCCTTACATATTATCTTATTGCCTCTTGTAAATTTAAAATTAGATGAAATTGTATAGCAAGATCAACCAATTATTAATGATGAAGACATAAAACACAACAACATCACAACTTTGTCAAAATCCTAAACTCAGAGGTGAAATCCATCCTGTGGTTGGTGAGAAGGTTTGGTTGCTGGAGTGGCAGAACAGATCTAAAAGTAGAGCTAAGTATGTACTTTGCTCCTATTCCACTTTTCTTCGCAACTTTTTCTTTTTCTTTTGTTTTCTTTTTCTTTTTCTTTTGTTTTCTTTTTCTTTTTCAATTGTAAATCTGGTGAATATATCTGGAAAACTGGCATTGGTATGTAGAAAATGGGAAAAAAATCTTTACAGAAATCCTATTTTATTAATAGAATATGAGACTTTGGATCTGGGGTTGTATATTTCACATTTTGTTATTATTTTTATCTTATCATCTTTCTTCTTTTTTTAATAAAAAATTATCACCCTATGTTTTTATTATTTTAAAGTTTTCAAAAATATTTTAAAAAAACTATATTTTGAAAAAACTTTAAATAATAATGAGAATGAAGTGGCAAGCACAAGGAAGACAAATAAAATAAAATAGAATGTAAAATACTCCTATTTATTTAAGAGAAAATAAAAAAAATGAAAAAATATCATTAAAAAAAATAAATTAAAATTAAATATTTATTCAATTATAAAATTATTCATATAATTTTTAATTAAGTTTTTAATAAAATAGTTTTTCAATTAATATCTATTTATTATAATATATACTTTAATATATAATTATAAAATATTTTTTATTATAAAAGTATATTGTTTTCTAAAAATATGTGAACTTAAATTAATAAAATAATATTATATTAAAAAATTAAATATATTAAAATATATTTTATTTTTATGATCACTTTTATATTTATGCTATTTTATTAATATAATAATTAAAAGTTAATAAATATATAATATAAATTAAATATATTTTTTTTAGTATGAATAATTTTGTAAAATAATGTTTTTCTTTTTTTTTTACTATTTTTAAAGAAAATAACACTTATCTTATAGAAAAAGGACATTTATTTGTTGAGTGACATATATATTTATTATTTTTTTATTGAATAAAGATATTTTTCTATTTATTTGTCTACATAATGACTTTCAAGTTTTTTCCTTTTCTTTATTTCAGTAGAATGTTAAAAATAAATTTCAAAGAACTATTAAAAAAATAAAAAACAAACCTTGTTTATAATTTTATTTTTTAAAATATTTAAAGAAAAACGAATAATAAAAATAATGATAAAATTTTGAAATAATTTCATATCGAGAATCGAAAAATATAACAATAAAAATATCTTTTATATTTAAATTTTTAAAAACTAAAAACGAAAAACAATTTTTAAAAACTATATTAATAAAACAACTAGTAAACCTGTTTTTTACTTTTTTATAACTAAAAAAAAATTATTTCTAAAAATAATAAACAAACAAACCCATATTTGTCAACAATTTTCCAAAAAAAAAATATCTTCTAGTTTTTCCTAGATGTTTTATTTGACTAGTTTTTGGCAATTGTCAATTAGAAATTTAGTTGAGAGTTTTGTTTTGAATTAAATTAAAAAAAAACGTAAATATTAATAACAGTTACTTTAAACATCCTTTCTACTTTGACATGTTTCCTATCCCAAACAGAAATTCTACCAAAATAAGTAATTTTATTTTTTCATTACATTTGGGAATAAGAAATCACTCTTATTATTTAAAAAAAAATCCTTTCCTGTTTAAAAAAATTGATAAATTATTCCCTAAATAATAAAATAAAACATATTTAAAAAAAAACATTTAAAGCTTTTATTTTTAGTTTTCAAGAGTAAATTAACATCTTTAATGTTATTTAAATTTTGCAAAATTAATTTTAAAAAAAGAGATAGATGTTGTAAGGCGTAAGTTACTCTTTTTCACCCAAAATGTAGATTATGCTTTATTTAATTTATTTAAGAAATATTTTTTTAACAACAAATTATGTTTGTATGTTGATAAACGGTATAATGAAAAATATAATGAAGTGAAATAAAAAGCTGTTACATTGTCTAGTTTGTTAAATTGAAAATAAAGCATAATATTTTTTCTAAAAATAAATCTTTAAGACAATTTATATCTATTTTTTATCTCCTGTCACCATTCCAATCGCAAGACTCTAAAATTCAGTGAAAATTTAGTTTAACTATTAAAAATTAGAAAGTTAACTTGACTAATTTTTATTATTAATAAAAATAATAATTTTTTTAATGGAGATGTTTTATGATTGTGCAGGTTTGAATTTGTGTGTTTATAAAAAATATATTTTGAATGATTAAGTAAAATCTTTTAACCAATTAATTCATTACATTTGTTTTGGAATCGTTACTCGACTTTACTTTTAATTTAATTTACACTATATATCTTAAATTTTATAATTTTGTAAATACAAGATATAATTATCATAAATCAGTATTTTCCAGATAATATAACATGTTTTTAAAATTTAGCATTATAATTCTTATTTCGTCAATATAATTATATATTTTTCATAATTTATTTTTAATCTTACAGTTTTGTAATTGAATATAATACAGTAACAAATTTATATATGCATCTAAATCTTTTACGATCCAACCAAAACTAAGATTAATTTCAGCAAATTAATTCAATGAAAAACACTAAACCAACAACAAAACTTAATTAACCATTTATCAATTAATCACTCGAATATTATTACGAATAATGTCTTGTCTTAATTCTAGCATACAAATATGTATTAGTATGTCTCGTCTTATCTCTAGCGTATAAACATGAAATAAGATAAGTTGACCTATTAGTCATAACAGACTATTATTTTATTCCATCAAATGATAAACTAACAAATCAACCTAACAAATTTTTGTATATAAATTTGTTTATATATATTAAAAAAAATATTAATCTTTTTTAAAATTTTATTAATTAATTAATATTTTTATTAAATAAGTTAAAAAATTATAAAATTTATGTGTTAAAATATTTAATTATAATTAATAATTTAAATTTATTTGATTAATATTATAATTTAAATTATAATATTATAATTTATTTAGATATTTTAATAATAATATTTTATTATTTTATTTAGATTATAAAATAAATACTTTTTTATTTAAATTTTAATATATAATATTTTTTTTAAAATGAGTCAACATACTAATCTAGTACCTTGTTCTTCGTAGAATTGACGAATTAGATAGAATGAATAAAAAATGGACTCATAAGTTAAAATTATCAGATCAATTCATCAATTTTGAGATAGACTAACGAGTCAGTCCACGGAACTTAACTTATTTTATCATTTAAGGATATCTTGAGTACAAAAACATATAATCATATTATTTTAATATTATATATATATATATATATATATATATATATATTATTTATAGTTATTAAATCTAAAAATTACAAAAAAGATTGAAAAAATAGATTGAGTTTGATTGGAAAGAGTGAAGGCAAAAATTGAGAATGTCATATCAAAATAAAAGAGTTGTTAGGATTGCGTTCCTTGAGAGAATATAGGATATCAACAAGTTGAGAATGTAAAAATTAAAAGAGAAAAACATCAAAAAATTAGAAATCAAGGATTTAAAGAATGAAAAACAAAAAAATGAACGTAGGTAGGTTGAGAAGAAGTTAAAGGGAAGAATTTTTCTTAGTAATACATCAAAAAATGGGTGAAGACGGCTAAGAAACAAACTCTATAGAATATGCATATTACAAGTAAATGAGAGGAAGCCGTTATAAAAAATAGTATATATATAATAAAAGTAATTTAAGTGATTGTCAAATTGTACCACTTATATTTTGAAAAATGTTGTGAATTTAAAAACAAACATTTTCAATAAAGTTTTTTTAATTTAGATTGCCACTTTAATTGAGTTTATGTGTCAATTTCTATTTTATTTTTGATAATATGTTAAATTTATATTTATATTATTTAATTTTCAACATATTTATTTTTTATTAAATTATTTTTACCATTCTTTATTATTTTTGTAAATTATTTTAAATATTTTATATTATATTAAATATAAAAATTAAATACAAACAAATTTTTTGCTAAAATTCACTGTGTATTAAATATTAAGTACAAGTTAGTAATTCAATAAGTAAATAAAATTGTATTAATTATATCAAACAATGAATTATTTACATTAAAATTAATAGTAAATCAAGACAAAATTAATATTAAAAAATATTTCATTATTTGTAATTAGTGAAAATTTTCTTCATTAACTAACAAATACATTTAAATAAGACTTTTTCACATAGTTATTGATAAAACTCACATGATACATTATTTTTCGTCTTGTTGTCCTTTAAAATACATTAAATTATCCATAAGTTGTTTGTACCTTTGTTGTCCACCTTATTTCTTTCAAAATTTGTGTGTTTTTAAAAGTGGTTAACAAGTCAAAAGTTGTTGATTTCACCTTTAATATCAATCATGATTAAAATATATTGCCTCACATTTCAATCCCACTGTTATGTGCTCTACTCATCCAAAATCACGTTCATGATCAGTTACACCAAGAAAGAACTGAGGTTGTTGTTCGTCAACAACATATTCTTCACAAACCTGGGAAGTAACTCTTGAGGAAGACCTGTTACTATGTTTCTCTTGTTAATTCGGCAAACTCAAGTTGTTAGAAAGATAAAACCAAAATTACCATTTTCTTTTGTCTTCAACTATAAACAGGGTTGAATATGTCCATTGGAACAATTACACCAATGGTCATTAATTTCAAAAACTCTTTTTATGAATAATTATTACATAACCCTTCCCTACAAAATAATTCTTGATTTTTATAGTAATTTCACCCTTTCCCAATTACATTTGCTGCAGAACAATAATAAAAAAAAATCATAGTAAGATGATAGTTTTTTATTTAAATGTGAAAAAAGACTTACCAGAACTCATGTGTTTGTTGCAGTTTATATATATAAAGAAAAATTGATGAGTTGACTGTTAATTTTAACATTTAAAGTTTATGCACACTTTTGTAATTAATAGCACGTTGATATTTTTCTTTATAACAATTTCTGTAATTAATTCTTAAATTTCGAACTTATGATTGATGAATATTTTTTAGTTGTAATTTTTTTATGCTTGCACAAAATTAGAATTTATGATCATAAATTAAAATAGTTTTGTTGTTATTTTTATTTATATATTATGAAAATAAATACAAAATTATGTCTCTAAAAATTAATATGTATATATAATAAGAATAAATAAAAAATGTATTTTTAACTCGTGATAAATTAGTAACTAAAATCAATAAAATATAAAGTGCATAAAAGTTATGAAAGCAATATTGAAAATCTATTTTATATATATATATATATATATATATATATATATATATATATATGGAATATTTTTGTTTTTGTCTTTTATAAAATTTAAAATTATTTATTTAATTGATATAATCTCGTTAAATTAGTTTCTAAAATCAACAAAATATATACATAGGCGAACAGTTTTTTATGAATGAAAATTGGATATAATTTATTTCAACAAATTTATTACTCAACTCTAAAGAAAATCACAAATTATCGTTTTTTTATTATTATTTTAATCCAATATAATTTCACCTGTCTATCTATCAAGCTAAATGGAATTGGGTTATATATTTTTAAAAATAGATTTATTCTATTAATAAAATTTATAAACTTTAAACATTTAATTATCATAATTGATTAGATGTTTTAAAATAAATTATATATTTAATAATTGAATAATATAATATTTTAAAAATACATATTTAATTTTACAAAGCAAATAAATAAATTAAATAATAATTATATTATTATTATTATTTAATAATTTTAGTTAGATTAAATTGAATTCCTAATTTATTAGAGTTACATCAATTAAAGATTGAGTTGAATTAAATTAATTTAAATATAAAATTAAAAAAGTTCAACTTGATTTATTTAGATAATATTAACTTATAGAGTTGTTATTAATGACCACCTCTAATAATTAACATATCTTTAATTGTATAGTACAAGTACATTTTTTATATAAAAATAGTACTTAAAAATTAAAATAAATAAAAAATAATATTTTTCATCAATTATGAACAGATTTTTAGTGGACTCAATTAATAGATAAAATAAACAGTTTATGAAAACTTTCCAAAATTTGGGTTTTGAAGTTTGTAACTATTATTAATAATTCTAACATTTTTTTATTTACTTTTTGAATGTATTTAACGGAATTCTATTCTTTTAGTAAATAATAAGCTCAGATTTATTTTGATGAAAAATAAAAATGTGTTGCAGTTTTTTAATGTAAATTTTAAAATCTTAAAAAATCATATATATAATTAATAGTATTATTTATTATTTTTATAATTGATGTAAAAGCTGTACATAAAAACATTTTTTCGACATAATTATACTTAAAAAAAAAAAACTGTCTCCTCTTACAAGAGATGAAGGTAGTTTAAATTATTGAATGAACATTTCACTATTTTTTTATCTTGATCATCTTTATCTCCAAAATATATTTTAAAATTAATAGATAGGTAATATTATTATGTTTATATTAACTAATATGTGTATTTAATTACTAATTGAATTAAAAAAGTTGATTAATAAATTTAAATGTGACAGGTAATAAAACTAGAAAATTTAAATATTTATTGGCACATTACGTTACTTACTAACTTGGCTGGTTCTCTCCGCTGTTATAAAGCTACAAATCGTGAGTTGATTCGTTCTGAGCTACTGTGTACCGGCCTAGCTAGCTACCATTTAAAACTTGTTTCTTCTTCTGCCTCTCCTTCCTTGTCTTCATTCATTCTTCATTAAAACTTCTTTTTCTCTTTTTCCTTCTTTTATAAAACCCTTCCCCTCCCACTTTCTGCTCCACCACCATCTTCTACTGACTATTTTATAAAGATGGGTTTCAATTCGTTTTTTCTGACTATGCTCTTCCTGTTGGGCCTGTGCCTGTGTCATTCACCTTCTACCAAAGCCACGTCGTTCAGAAATGCCTACGCCACGATGATGTATGTTGGCACTCCCAGGGACTACGAGTTCTACGTCGCCATTCGTGTCCTTCTGAAATCCCTTTCCAAACTTAACGTTCAGGCCGATCTCGTCGTCATTGCTTCCGTTGACGTCCCTCTCCGATGGATTCGAACTTTGTGAGTCCCTTTCCTTCTTTCTCATTTATTTATTTTTTTAATTCGGCGTAGATTACAATGCATTTGCTTCGATTACGTTTATCTTACATTAATCTACCTCTTTCTCATGTTTCTCCATCAAGCTTAGAAACTCTTTCGTAATGTAGTCGTCGTAGTTTGCCGTATTTGGGGATTCTGGGAATATGCTTTAGAATAATGAAATCATATTATTATAAGCTAATGCAATTATTAATTTAATAGATAAATGTCTAACTACATAGTGAAGGTTCAAGTTAAACCCGTTCCTAGCAAAACCCCGCCTAGTTGAATTCCTTTATTTTTCCTATGAAAACTTCTTAGTTGATTGACGCACTATATATGAATTTTTTATCATAATTGTTTAAGATATCCTCGTTTGAATTGGTTGGCGCATTAAATATTTTTGTATAATAAGAAGTTTTGGAATATTTAATTAATGTTTCCGCGTTAAGTACGTGAGTTGGAAACCACGCTTTCAACTAATTTTCTGTGTACCGTTTCTAGCCGTTTTTGGTTCCACCAAACTTTGATGATTATAAAAATTACAGTCAACACAGAATAAAGAAATAGTGACGAAAATGATGCGACAGTAAGTTTATAATTAAAAAAATACATATGTACATCAAAGTAACAAAAGTTTTGGATCTCCCTCTTATATTAGTATAAATTGTTGTATGATATGACCACTGGAATGCCTACCATTAAACTACCAATCCTTCCACTTGAACTAAAGTTTCTTACGTGAAGGGACAGTGAGGCCAGGCGTGGTGGGGTTGGGAAACGATGCTGCTTCGTTTCATTATTTTAGTTGCAACTAATTTCTTCTTACTGTTCATTTTCAATTTTGTTTTTCCACTTTGACCTTTTGCCTTCAGTTTCGAACATTTTTTTTTTCTTAACTCTCTTCTGATCAGTCAACAATCAGCAACACAATTCTCTATTGTCTACGTTAAAATATATATAAATATATTTTGTTATTATATTTTAAGTTATACTATATATATATATATATATATATATATATATATATATATATATATATATATATATATATATATATATATATATATAAACCTGTCTACACAAGTTTTTAATGTGACTAGCCTTAGTTGTTTTATTGTTTTCTACTTTTTGCTCAGCATAATATATTTTATACTCGATAAGAATACTAGCAGTAAAGGATTATAAAAAAAATTGTTCTATGCTTTAACTTTTTACTGGTTAAATGAATACTTGGATAAGAAGAAGCAATGAATATAATATTTCCCTGGGAAACTGTAGCAGTACAATAACTAGCCCAAAGCAATTATTACTCCCGTAACGGCGGAATCACATGTTGCTTTGACGGGTTTCCAAAAGGAACCCATAGTTTTTCTGTTTCTAATTTGAAAACACAAGTTCTGTCCCAGCTTCAGTATGGAAACACGCTTTGATCAATCCAATCTGCTAGCCTATTTGATGAGGGTAGGGCACCACATGTTTCCAAGTTTTGTTACTTAGGGGGGGGGGGGGTGTCACTTGGCACTATTATGCATCAATTGGGTCGGGGAAATTAATAGGCAGTGTGGGTTTTATTTATCAGTGAAGAGGAAGATGGTGCAAAAGTGGTTAGGGTGGAAAACATGGAGAATCCCTACAAGCATCAAGATAATTTTGACAAGAGATTTAAATTATCATTGAACAAATTGTATGCATGGAGCTTAGTGGACTATGACAGGGTTGTCATGCTGGACGCTGACAATCTCTTCCTTCAAAACACAGATGAGTTATTTCAATGTGGACAATTCTGTGCGGTCTTTATCAATCCCTGCGTCTTCCACACTGGCCTCTTCGTCTTGCAGGTAACGTTACCTTTAAATCTTCTAAATGCTATGTACTTCACCCCATTACACTTCGTCATTCATTCCTGTTGTTTTCCATATTTTAACTTTCGTTTTCTGAGTTGGTAAATTAATAATCAACTTCGTAGTTGGCATGGGTAAAAAACCACTTTTACTCTGATTTCTTATTCACACCAAATTTTTTATATATTTTTAGTAGAAAATATATAAATTTGAGTTTAATTCATCATTTTGGTGTATATATCGAACCCAAGCTTCCGTCGTAGTTCTTATACGTGAAAATTCTATCTTGTACACCTTATATGATAAACTTCTTTTGTATTTTAGTCTTTATTTTGTAGCGGTTTTGCACCGTCAAATAACTAATAACAGATACTATAATATAAAAGAATTGCTAAAAATTATAAAGTATAAATTTTAGGTAAAAGGATTACAACGAAAATTTTACACAGGTATAGAACTGAATAATTAGTTAAAACAAAAAATTTATACTGATCAAATTCTTTGACCATCAACCATAATTGACCTGTGTCATAACTCATGGATTCTAATATTTGATATTGGCAGCCATCAATGCTGGTGTTCAAGGACATGGTTCATGAATTACAGAATGGGAGAGAAAACCCAGATGGTGCAGACCAGGGTTTCATAGCTAGCTACTTCCCGGAGTTGCTTGATAAGCCAATGTTTCATCCACCTTCAAATGGCACCAAGCTTCATGGAACATATAGGCTTCCATTAGGTTATCAGATGGACGCTTCTTACTACTGTAAGTTTTTTCAGTATATATTTTAAACTAAACTTTTGAATGGCTTAGTGAAATATATGTTTGTGCTATATCATTCTTGACTTCAGATCTTAAACTTCGCTGGAGCGTTCCCTGTGGACCAAATAGTGTGATCACATTCCCAGGGGCACCGTGGTTGAAGCCATGGTATTGGTGGTCGTGGCCTGTCCTTCCGTTAGGTCTCCAGTGGCATGAACAACGTCGTCAAACTTTGGGGTAATCAGTTTTAGTGCCCTCTGATTTCATTGAGTTTCTGATACAAAATCATTAAGAGGGTCAATAACTGAAAAACAGGATTTCAGAATATATATCAGAGTGATAGAATGTAAATTTATTTCCTTGAGATAAATGTAGGTGTTTATTTCAATTCATTTTCTTGCATGATGAAAGCTATTTTAAAAATTGACCTATCATTCTTGTAGGTATGGTGCTGAGATGGCTGTGATACTAATCCAATCTGCAATATATCTGGGAGTAATAGCAATGACGCGTTTGGCAAGACCTAGCTTCTCAAAGTTGTGTTATAGGCGCTCTGATAAGAGCATCGACCTTGTCCATAACAGCCTCAAAATAGTAGCTTTGTGGTGCATTCTTGCTGCTTACGTAATACCATTCTTTATCATTCCTCACACGGTTCACCCTCTTCTGGGCTGGATCCTATATTTGCTTGGTGCTTTTGCGCTTTGCTCAATTGCAATTAATGTATTTCTGCTACCAATGTTACCAGTTTTGGTACCGTGGCTTGGAATTGTAGGGGTCCTTATGGTCATGGCATTTCCTTGGTATCCTGATGGAGTAGTGAGAGCTCTGTCCATCTTTGTTTATGCCTTCTGTTCTGCACCATTTTTATGGGCATCTATGGTGAGGATAGTGGCTAGTCTTCAGTTATCTCTAGAAAGAGAAGCTTTTCTGCCATCAAGATTGGTAGAATCTTCGCCAAATTCATGGTTTAACAAGTTATATTGAGTTGTCCAGTTGGGCACAATACAAGGCTGGGGACAAAGAAGGACCTCTTGGCAAGCTCAGCAAAAATAGAAGGGAGCATGACACATTAATACCAAACATCCTGTTGGGGTTCACAACTGTTTGAACCAACTCAAAATTAATTGACGATTTGACTGGTCATTTTATTGAAGTTAGTTCATCAATTAAATGAATTTAAGTTTAATTTAAATTGTATATTGGTTGATATATGTGTACTATGAAAAAAAGTTTATTATATTCGCATAAAATTTCAAACTAAATAATGTTTTTTTTTTTTCCAATTTATGTTATCATTTTTAAATTAAACGCATAATTAATAATATGGTATTGTAATAAACTATTTACTTCATTGGTTATTTTAAATTATCTTAAAGTTAGTTGCCTACCAAACATGAAAATTGAATTAACATTAGAGAAATATTTAAGGATAATGAAAATATATACTGGTTGCTTACGTGTCAGGAGGTCTATGAGGCAGAACTCTTATTCTAATAATATTCATTCTGAAATCTACTTCAATATTCTTTTCAGATATATTTTGGACAAATTAAGATTATAAATACTAAAAAAAACATTTATTTTACGAACAAACTCATTTATATTTTTTTAAATCATTTTTAATTTATAAAAAGTATCACCTACATAAATATGATTATTATGGAACACATGGAAACGACCACTTATTCCTTCTTCTCTGTATGACGTAGCTCTATATAAACTTTTTCACACAACTTAACATATGTGAGGATAGTAGAAAATTTTATAATTAGTTTCTCAAAACTTATGAATTACTTACTACTCGCTTTGTCAACTCGGGGATTTTCGTGGAAATTTTCGTTTATCATGTACAACTTTTCTGGTTTATTACACTTATAGTTGCCTAAATTTTAAACTTTTGAAAAGATATACTAACATTAAGGTACTGAAAAAAATCTAAATTTATTTCAATTTAACTATTTAATATATATTTTTATCAAACTATTTATTATATTCAAATACAATTCCATTTTCAAATAGTATACGAATATTTTTCTTAAACGTAATTTATTTTATTTATAATATATTTATATCTATTTAACAAAAAAATAAATTTATTTAATTATAAAATTACATAATTTATTTATAAACAAAAAAATAATAATTTATAAATATTGTTAGCACTACTAAAATGAGAAAAAGTATCTAATACATACAAATATTGAGAATAAAGAAAAATAATGTAAATTTCTAATTGATCGTAACTGTTATAACTTTACGGATATGAGAGTGTTGTTTATATAAAATTCTGGCTAGAATAACTGTTTTGTTTTAATGTAGTTATTATTATTAGTATATTGATTACAACCACAAATATAAATATAATTACAGTTATTCAAATAATGATAAAATTATTAAAAAAAAATCAAACTATTGATTTCATCCGATTTTATATCAAATAAAATTTACATTAAATTGTTTGTAGTTACTTTTTATATTTTGTTGAAAATTAAAAAAAAAAGTTTTAAAATTTACCTAATCAATGTTCAGATATAAAAGCAGAGAGCTAGTTAACGAGATGTTTGCATAAGTTAGAAGCAGGGTTATTTATTTTTGGTTTCATTGCCGTGATTCCATGAAACTCCCATCACCATTGATTATTTATTTTTTATTTTTTCTTTCAACATAATCATTATGAATCACTTTTTACAAGTTTGGGAAAATATTGTCTTATTATTTTCCCTTCTGACGTAATTTGGAAAGAGGGGTTCGGACCCAACGTTTAAATATTTTGTGGGCTCTGGGTGGGGCCCACTTGTCTGCTAAAAATATTATTTTATCCATGCCTGGACCATCATGTATCATTATATGATAACATTACGTATCATTATCCCACCCAAATGACCGTTTGAAATTAATACAACGTGAATGCTGTACATGGTGGTGAATCAGTGCCATGGACACACAAAAGATAAGATACATTCTATTAAGAATATTAGTAATTGAAAGTGACCGATGAATCCTATGAATGGACACCATTACATCTACCACACAAAATATGCTAACATTCATCATCATCATCATCATATTGGGATGACTTTCCCATTTGATACATTTTTTGAGAAATGATGGTTACAAAAAATTGGTTTGTGAGATTGCAATTAATGAATGGAATAAATAAGATAGAAGCAAACTTTAGAGTAATTACATCACATACTCCATAAAACCATTGACTTTTTGAAGCATTAATGGCAATGAAACACAATTGACTGAGTAAAGTAGAACATGGAAAGAATAACAACATAACAATGAAAAGTGACTCAAGGGAATGCTAATTTTAATCAAAACAAAACAGTAACCACTCCAAATACTTTTTTCACTTTACTAGTATCCAAGAGTGATATAATACTCTCGTCACTCTTAATCATGATCAATTACTAGACTTAAAAGAGACATCCTAGTACCTAGGTGGTATCTTACTTAGAGATACAAGCCAAAAATATAATGACTCACTAGTTTTATAGCACAAGATTTTGTGCATTACAACTACATTTGTTAGCCTCCAAAAGCAGGTACACCCAGTAGAAATGACCGTTGGAGAGACCATGATCTTCTCTTGTTCTTCCTTAAAAACATTTTTATTAAAAAAAAAAAAAAACACTCTTATGACCTCTAGTCACGTCACAATAGACCCAAATAGTCTCCGACTATAAAATATACCTAGTGCCTCTCTCTTTTTTCCTTGCTTTTTGCTTCTTCATTGCATGTTCCTCCAATATTTTAAGAGTTTACATACAAATATAGACACACTGCTATCTCCACTGTTTCTTCAACAATTTGTTTCACTTTGCTGTTTGATGCTGTCAGCTTCCACTTAATGGCTTCCCTCCCGGTGTCATTGCAAGTAGCACTCGCAGTTTTCACCTGCATATTCCATGCAGCAACAGTGACGTGCACATCCCACCATGACCGTACCTTCAAGACATTCTCTTCCGCCAACGCCTCCAAGAACCACCACTGGGTCGGACCCATCGGTCACCGTAAAATCACTGTTGACATTAACGGCGGTGGCCACTACCAGTCCGTTCAAGACGCCGTTAATGCTGTCCCAGACAACAACAGAAGGAATATCCTCATTCAAATCAACGCAGGGTGCTACAGGTATATACATTATATGATAGAACAAAGTTCATTGATTAAGTAATTATGCAGTAATAATAACAAGACATGTTTGATAATTGGCGTTGGGTGTTTTATTTGATTTGTTTGTTTGGTTATGGTGCAGAGAAAAGGTGGTGGTGCCCGTGACGAAGCCGTACATAACGTTTGAGGGGGCGGGTAAAGAAGTGACGGTGATAGAATGGCATGATCGAGCGAGTGACCCTGGTCCCAGTGGACAGCAACTGCGTACTTACAGAACCGCTTCTGTTACTGTTTTTGCCAGCTATTTTTCTGCCAGAAACATCAGCTTCAAGGTATCTTTACTACTTACTACTGACTGTTGCAGTAAATGTTTCAACTCCTAATTATGCAGCGTGAATTGTTAACATTTTTACACTTTCTTATTTCCTCCTTTGTTTTTTCACACTCATTAGTGTGATTATGGCCTCCTGATTTTGATTTTGCATGTGATATATTTCTCTATTTAAGTTTTTTCCTTTTCAATCCATTCGAACTTACATACAATTAAGAGCGAATAAATGTACATTTGTTATAAATGGGTGTTGTAAATTTTATATTTTCATAATGTTGGTTAATGATAAAGCTCAAACACTTTGTCTTCCATAACCCAAAGTTCTAGGTTTGCGTGACCGACTCCATACGTCTGACTTATACAGTAAAGTGTTTCAGCCTTTTAACTAACTTTTCTCGTGACCAAGCATTGAGTATAAAGCCATTTTTTATGCTTTAACTTTTACATATATTTTTTTACTCTTTAACTCATGATATCTACAATTTTTACAAGATAAAAACTAAAAAAGTTACTAAACCCTACAAAGTTGTATAAGATTATTGTTATAATTTTTTTTTATGTTACTTTTTCCTTTTTTTTGGCTTTTGGTAAAAAAGTAGAAAGTGATTAAACGAATGAAGAATTGAATGGATATAAAATACGATGCATGCAGAACACAGCGCCGGCACCAATGCCAGGGATGCAGGGGTGGCAAGCGGTGGCGTTTCGCATATCGGGCGATAAGGCATACTTCTCCGGCTGCGGCTTCTACGGCGCACAAGACACACTTTGCGACGATGCTGGGAGACATTACTTCAAAGAATGCTACATTGAGGGATCCATCGATTTCATTTTCGGCAATGGCAGGTCCATGTACAAGGTACTCCATTCAAATTGCTTCTTTCACTGCCACCTACCAATTTTTATTTTACATTTAGGGTCTATATTTCTCAAGAGGAAGAGGATATAAACAAAAGAAAGAGACAAAATAATAAAGATAAACGTAACATGAAAAAGAATATAGAAAGAAACATAAAGGAACTGGATTTTTATTAAAATAAACATTCCTAATAACTTTTAACAGTGATTTTTAATATATTAAAGTAACATTTTTCTTCTTTTAAAAAAAAAGAGTACACTATTTATTGATATTTTAACTAATGTTCTTAATATACTTTAAAGTAAGATTTTTTTTTTTTTTTTTTACATTGGAAAAGTAAGGTTCTTTGAGGGAGAAGTTAAAGTTATGGTAGAAAAAGGAAACAACCTTTTCTGCCCAGTAAACCTTTTTTTGGTGTCAGCAAACTTAGGATTCAGCTAGAGAAATCCATGATGGCACATTGGATTGGACAACATGATCATGTCATGTAATGGATGATATTGTATACGAGGCTATGAGAATTAAAAATATGAAAAGTAATTTTGAAAGTGAAAAATATTTGAGTGGTTTTATTTTATATATATATCAGGATTGCTGGCTACACTCAATAGCAACGAGGTTTGGGTCGATAGCAGCCCACGACAGGGAGCACGAAGAGGAGAAGACAGGGTTTGCATTTGTAAGGTGCAGGGTGACAGGAACAGGTCCTCTGTATGTGGGACGAGCAATGGGACAATACTCCAGAATCGTCTATGCCTACACATATTTTGATGACATTGTTGCACATGGAGGTTGGGATGATTGGGACCATGCTGACAATAAGAACAAGTAAGTAGCTTCTTCTATCCAATTTTCACCTCTTGATCTTATCAACTTTTTTACTTTTAGAGATACATGGAGTGGTAGTAGAATCTTCCTTCCAAAGTAGACAAATTTTATGCAGCCCAATCTTTGTTTTGAGTAATGATGGAGTGAGGTTTACACGTAGTGTGACAATCGTTGCATTCTATTGCATGCCATCATGGGTCTGGGAACAAAGTCAAACCAAACATGCAATAAAAGAAGTCATTGGTTGTTGGATATGATGCTGATTTCGGATTTGTGGGTATGTATGTGTATGTATTCACAGGACTGTGTTCTTCGGAGTGTACAAGTGTTGGGGACCAGGAGCAGAGGCTGTACGTGGGGTCTCGTTGGCCCGAGAACTAGATTTCGAAACGGCCCATCCATTTATCAGGAAGAGTTTCGTCAATGGCAGACACTGGATCGCACCATCTGATGCTTAGTCATCACATAACTTTTATATGGTTAACCATAAAAAATAGCTCTTGAAATTCATTCATTTATTTGTTATTGTTTATATAGAAATTCATTTATTCCCTTTTTGTAGAGTTTGTAACAGCTCAAGAATTCTTCTGAACAAACCATGTATGCAAATGCCTTTGTGCTTTATAACTCAGACAAAAAAATGCTTTACTAATACATTCACATTTTTTAAGGGAAATACAATCACATAATATGCCAATACATTATAAACAATATCTTAAAAAAGACAGCCCGAGTAAACTAAATTAAAAACAAAATTTAGATGCAGTTTCTAAAAAGTTTATAGTTTTGGTAGGATTAAGTTCGGCCTAATAATATGCATAGTTAAAAAGTTTAAAGATTAATTAACATAAATTAATCAAGTAGAAGAACAATATAAAGTATCACAAATCAAACAACATTCAAATTTTCTTGTACAATCTTTCTTTAGTCTATTTACAGATTTATTTTATTTTATTCTTTTTACATTTTTTTGGAAATATTTACGTAGAATTTTTCTCAAATAAACCTTATAATTAAAATGTGTATACGTACTGAACAAATTAAAATAATATATAAGGACTAAGTAATAATTAATTTATGTATAAATTATTTTTAACGTATGAAGATATTTATCTTATTTACCCTTTTCTATTCTTCTCTGAGAAGTGCTTGTAAAAAAGTTTATTCAAATAAACCCTTAATTTGTTTTTAGTACTTTCCATAAAAATAAGAAAAAAAATCCTGAATATGTTTGTGTTTTTATAGTCTAAACTCAAACTAGTATAATACGTATAAGAATAGAAAATTATTTAAAAAAAAAAAACTATAAAACTTAAAACGTATAAACTGTGATTTTAGGGACTTTAACCTTTGCAAATTAATCGCCAGCGAGCAAATCTGGTTTATATACAAATTGGAACTATTGAAAACGATTCCATTTGAGGCTGGAGCATGATTCAGAAAATTAAGACCCTTTAATGACTGATAATTGAAACAAATACAATAGAAAAAAAAATTATATTTCACAATTCCATACACTATTCTTTTATGCTTCATCTGTTGAGGTCATCTTTCCTCGTGGGGTCGTTTCCTTGTTTAATAAAATGAACAAATGAGTTGTACTAGTCACCTAAGCAGGTGGTCCTATCCATTGTTTTACCAGACCAGTTCCATAATCCTGAGATGGTTTCCACTGCCAACTCCCGTGGCATTTAAAACAAAACAAAACCTACTCTATCAAGTGAGTCGACCACATTTAATCATACATCACCAGGTTGGGAGTTGGGGACTTTAAAAAATACTAAAAAGAGGAGGGGGGCAGATATCTTTTGTTTACTCTCTGATCTGTTTCTGTGAACCCCATCGGATGTGTAACAGTGTTTCGTTCATCAAGAGAAGCAGGGATGCTCCAACTATTCTGATGATAAAAAACAAAATTGATATTTAAAGCTTGAGCATATGCTCAAAGTTCAACCTCGTGTAGATCTTCTCCATAACTGCTACTTCTTGCAGGTGTGTGCATTGAGGATTCGTCAGGCATAAATCTTGACGCTTCTCCTAAAGGCGTAGTATTGCCCACTTTTGGAGGGCTAAATGAATCATTAAAACTCCCACTCCATGAAGCTGCTCGGCGTGAATGAGAAAATTGAGAGTTACTTCCTTCTGTCGCAACCTGTTTAGACATATTACCCGTACTTGGAAACCTTTGCATGGCCGTTGACGATGCATGTGCGGGGTTTTGGTATGACCACTCATTTGTCGAAGACGTTGAAGGATCTACATTTGTTACACTATCTTCTTGGTTGCTTTCTGCTATTGCCTCCATTGCCTGCTCATTTGACGATGGTGCAGGACTAGGAACGAAAAACTTTGCATTGGCGGCAGGAGCTGGTTTAACAAATGGAACAGAAGGGGATTGAAACAGGTTTGCAGAGGTTCCCCCACCTTGGTTGAAAGTGTCAACATACCTGTATAGTTCATAAAACATTTTCATCAATATTATGCCTATCAAATTTTGTCTATGAATAAGAAACTTTTCTTCATGTCTACGGAAACCAAGCTAGCTGCAAATATAGAACCCATAGGTTCCTGATTTCCATTCTTTTCATATGAAATATTTTATTAAGACATTTATTTAGGCCTACAAGACAATCCTACACATGCCAGGTCAGCTTAATAAAGCAAATTACATATTACAGACTATAATCGAACAGGGAACCAATGGAATGGCAGGTCGACTTTACAATGCTTAGGAGCTGAGAAACCCTACTTGCAATTATAAAATATAAAAAATCTAGACAATAAATAAGATGTTACCTTGACCGAACACCCAAACGACCCCGGGCAGAGAATTGGTTTGAGGTTGGTGGTATTGGTGGCATCCCTGGACTACGTTCAGGGCTAGAAGTTCTGATGTTAGATCCCTCTATAGGAGGTGAACTTTCAGTCTTCAAAGCAGATTTCAAGTTGTATTCAGTTGACCCATTCTGGAAAGCAGCAGTTGTTGGTGGTGGTGGTGGCAGTGCAGCTTCTTCAGCTGGAAGTTCTGCACCTTCCTCAACCCATCTCTTCAGCTTCTCATCATAATAGAACTTGTTTTTCTCACCCAATTTAGCCTTACATATGGAGTAAAATAAGAACCATTAGAGCAGGCACATCAAAGCACTGTTGTGATTCAAAAGAAAATAAAACAACTAATCATACCTGTTTACCAGCGCGAGGTTTTAGGACTAGTCCAACTGTCTTTTGCAAAATTTGGGTGCCAAAACCAAAGCGGGAAAAGCGGGAAGTACCCCCCGATGCCTGTGCTTTCCCTTGTGCATCAGGTGAGGTCATTTCCTGCAAAACATTAACCAGAAATTCTCCATCAAAATTCTAAATAATAAAAAACATGCAGGAAGATGAAAATCAACAGAACACCTTCCTTAGTACTCACACACCTGTCTAGGGATTCTACCGATATCTGGCTCAGAAACACTTCTATTAGGCTTTGCCATTTTATCATTGTCAGCTGTCCACTCACTTATGGGTTCCATTGAAGCGGATGGAACTAACGAAGACACAGCCATTGTTGATTGGCTAGAGGATACTCTGGGTGCAATATGTTGGTAATGTTGTTCACTCCCGTGAACAGTTCCTTGAGATAATGATGGGGCAGGTGGTGGTAAACCACCAACAACTCGATGAGCAGTGCTATCAAAAAAGTTGAGCAATTTGCCAACAAATTTTGCAGGAGCCATATTTGCAGCATATCCACCCTGAAACATATATTGATAAACAAGATGATGACTGGTAAGTATCAAGACCATAAAAAAAAAAATGAAGACTTCTTAGAGGACAAGCACCTGTTGGTGAGTTCTAATCCTCTCCTCAAGAGATACTGCTAATTGTTTCCAAGTTTCTACTTCTGGAGCACGTCCAGTTTTCAAGGATTTCAGTAGGGCTTGGCAGTACCTGAAATTGAAAAATAATAAGAGACCATATAAAAAGTAATATTGCAATTAAATAATGTTACATTAACTTACTTCAATGAGTCTGAAACCTTCCCCACTTCAGCTAGCATATACGCATATATAAGCTTATATGGCTGAAATGAATGCAAAGTAAACTGAGAGTTTCCAAGCACTTTTGAATATTCGTATAACTCGGTCCTCTGTCCATGTACCAATCAGGTAAGATAAGTTTGAGTTACTAATAATCACATCATGTAATATACTGGATTATATTGAACATGTTCTCTAGCAACAGATCCTGAGGTGGAACAAGTACAACACACAGACGGGTTATTTAAAAAGCTTACACAACAAAAGGTTAAATAAAAAAAAATTATTTCATTTGAAGAAAAAAATCCAAGTCTAGAGATAGAGAGAGAATTAGAAGAGGAAAATTCCATCTTTTAAGCATTTAGTCAAATATAGTACAGAATACGAAACAGCCTTGTCTGACTGTACCTGAATTCCAGAACTTTAACAATTGGCAACCAAAAAATCGGAGATGAAAGAGAGTTTTTAGTAGATGGACACAGCAAATGACAACATACACAATATTTTGTGAGGAAAGGACTCAAAAATATACATTCAACAAAAAAGCCAAACTCTGTGAAAGAAACAACTTAAGAACTAGAGAGATTTCAAATTACCTGGATAGCCTCTGGACTGGCATAAGTTCGAGGAGATTTCCAGTGGTCTGCTCCTATTAGACAGAGTCTTGCACTATCCGAGTATGACTCAAAGTTTGCTTCAGCAACTAAATAGCAGATGTGTGCAGCAGTAATCTAAAATAAGAATCTTAAATGAGAAGCAGAAAGGATAACTATACAAGTCTCAAAAAAAAATTGAAAGATTGAGAACTGTACCTCACTTCTTTCTTTCCACAAGCAATCACCCAGGTGAATAATTACAAGTTCGTCACCTTTGGTTCTGTTTGCAGTTATTACAGCCAGATTCTCCTCCCAATCATCAAGCATACCATTGGACCCAACCTGAACGCCAAAACAAGAGTTTTAAATTCCAAATAAGTAGAAACTGATAACCTTTGAAACTATTGAAGCAATGAAACAAAACATGTGGATTTCATACACTTTGCATGGCTTCTTAGTTTATTCTATTAGGATTACCTGTGCAGACTGCTGAGTCATATTAGAAGCACCAGGATGCCCATTAATTGAGGTATCAGTAGAGAATACTTCAGCTGGTTGCCCAGCAATTAGAAGGCATAAAGTGCGCAAAGGTGACCCTGCAACCAGCTGGCGAAGTGCCATTTGCTTCACTGTATCAACATAGAACTGCAACGCAAATATGGACCAAATTCATCCCCCGCCAAAGGCAGTATGAGAACAAGACAGTAAGATTCCAAAGGCATTCTCTAGCCCAGGCATGAAATATCGGCAGAGTATTAAACAGTCTGAAAATTTGACATCTGACCTGATCACCAAGTTGTGAGGCAAGAACAAGTGCTGGTCCCCACAATTGTCCTTCTT